GTACAATACGCTCAATGCTTATACTATATTTCCCCAGTAAATACAAATTTCTAAAATTAACCTTCTTCCCCAAATAAACCTATCTCTCTCCTTTTTTTTTCCTTCATTCGTTTCACAAAATCAAATCTAGGAGTGACCAACATGAATTCTTTCAGACTCTAATCTCCCCCACTCCCCAGACTCTCTCCCGGCACAAAATACCCTTCGGCTTTATCATGTGTCGAGGCGGAGCTCCTGCAGTGGCGGCGGAAGGGGGACTATGTGAGAATGAGCCAGTCTCTAACATGCGCTCGGTCAAGTGACAACACGAATTCTTCAGAGTTGTTCAAGCTGGAGACTTGGAGACAGTGACGTCTTTTCTTTCTACTGAGCCCCAAATGCTCCGACGAACCACCATCTTTGACCGCCTCTTCGCCAAAATATAGCTCTTTATGACTATAGCTCTTTACTGATAAAACATAGTTCTTTATGGTCTCTGAAAATTCTAAAACTTAGTGGAATAAATTAAATTAGTTTTTTCTGAGCAATGTAAACGTGTAATGATGTATATAATGTATTGTTTGATCAATTATTCATGTCAACGAGAGGTCCATTCTTAATTTTTTAGTTTTTAGAAAAATATAGCTCTTTATACTAAAGTGTAGCACCTTATCATAAAAGTATAGCTCTTTATGTCAAAGTATAGCTCTTTATGATCATGGTATAGCTCTTTACTGATAAAATATAGCTCTTTATGGCATCTGAAAATTCTGAAACTTAGCGGAATAAATCAAATCAATTTTTTGTGAGTCATATAAGCGTGTGATGATGTATACAATATGTTGTTTGATCAATTATTCATGTCGACGAGAGGTCTACTCTCAATTTTTTAGTTTTTTGAAAAAGTTTAGCTCTTTATTGTAAAGTGTAGCACATTATCATGAAAGTTTAACTTTTTATGCCAAAATATGTCTCTTTATGACCATAGTATAACTCTTTACTGATAAAGTATAGCTCTTTATGGTCTCTAAAAATTCTAAAACTTAGTGGAATAAATCAAATCAGTTTTTTTCTTAACAATATAAACATGTGATGATGTATATAATGTGTTTTTTTATCAATTATTCATATCAACGAGAGCTTCACTCTCAATTTTTTGATTTTTAGAAAAGTATAGCTCTTAATTTTTCACATAAACAGCTATACATTTCTCATAAAGAGCTAATATTTTGTCCATAAAGAGCTACATTTTTCATTAAAGAAATGAGCTACAATATACCATAAGAGCTACAATGTATCATAAAGGGTTATAGACCTTTCAGAACAACATATAACTCGTTATGAGTTCTATATCATTCATAAACTCCATTGGCGATTGACGACTTGCTATATAATCTTTATAAATGATACAAATCGACCAAAAAACTTCTTAAAGCATTTAGTCAAACATGTAATATGCATCAAATAAATTCTATTTAATACACATAATCTTGTTAAATATTACAAATCAACTGAAAATCTTTTTGAAGCATTTTATCAAACTCACAATATACAAAAGAACTTTCATTTCAAGCATTAAATTCAAAGTCTAATTCAATCCAACATAAAAGTAATCTTGTGACTGTAGGCAAATGTGGTGAAGTTGATCTTTAAGGGGGGGTTAGTCACCTAGAACTTTTTAAGTAAAACTGGGATAAGTGGTAAATTGGGATAATATTTTGACACTGGGATAATTTATTGGAACAATGATGGGTAATTCTTAAAGTGGGATAATTTGGTAGGATAATTTGGTGGGATAATGATGGATAATATTATAAAGTTGCATAATTTGGTAGGATAATTTGGTGGGGGTAATGGTGGGTATAAATTACTATTGTTAATAATTGTATATTAAAAATAATATAATATTGATAAGCAAATTCTAGTAATAACTATAAAATATAATGCAATAAAGCATCACTATTCATCTCAAATAATAAAATAATTTACAAATAAATAAAAATCTAAATCCCTAGAGTGACTCGACTTCCATCATCCCACATGGCTTCTATCATCTCACATGGCATCTGCCATAGAATTTCTCCAAGCTCCTACAGCTGCTCGTTGAGTCTGTAACTCGTCTTCTTTATCGGAGTCATCGTCTGCATCAGGAACATTTCGTGGAGCTTCTAGCGGAGGATCATAAATGTCGAAGTTCAAATCTCATAACATCATAAAGAAAGAAAAATAAGTATTTTTCAGCCATTAACCCTTTGGACCAATCTCATCATGATCGCTGAAACCATATAAGCAAATAAATAAAATGTACACAGGAATCATCCATGGCCGCTAAACAGATGATCGACAGATGAACTATAAATATCCCAATCAATTTACTGAGCCGATTTAATAATAATAGATATCACCATTAACCATTCAACATCAAATCATCAATGTGATCGCAAAGTTGCTTTCTAACTTATAAAAAAACATAAATAGCCCACATATCTTTAGCACTAACCCACCAACACTATATTCTTAACCTAAACCACTGTTGTGGAGAGAAAACTTAGATCAAACAGATAATAATAAAGTAATTTACGTCAAAAAGCTATCAATAAAGTAATACATCTTGAAGATAATAATAAAAGATCTAATCATCACAAAAACAAAGTAAAGACAGAAAAATGAACGGATGATTGACTTCATGGCAGAGAAATTTTCTAGGCGGAGAAACTAACCAAGAGGGAGGGAGGCGGCGTTTCACTTTTTTTTCCAATTGTATTCTTTCCAATGTGTGGGATAATTTGAAAGAGGAGAACTTATGGTTATATATATAGGTAGTACAATTTGTGGGATAATTATGACCAATTATCCCAATTCTAATTCTAGTAGAATTCTATTTGACTAACGCACCAAAAAAATAATACAGTTCTAGTTCTACAAAAGTTCTACTTGACTAACACTATAAAAAAATATCTCATTTTCTAGTTCTATGTGACTAACACCTTAAAAATTTATCCCACAAATTATCACAGTTCTAGTTTTAAGTTCTAGATGACTAACCCCCCCCCCCCCCCACCGTTAAAGTCAAGATAGAGGATGGGGGAGAGTTCGTTGGAGCAGTCGGCAGTCGAGGACGAGCTTGGAGTGGTTGAGCTTGTTAGCCAAAGAGTGAAAGGAAAGCTGGTGGACTTGATGTCGCGTGCAAGCTTCATGGTGAAGTCTTTTGTGGAGGAAGTGGAGGAGTGGTAGGAGGAAGAACATAAAGCTCAATCACAAAGAGGAAAGGGATTCAAGGGGTAAGTTGGGGAGTAGAGGAGGAGATCGGTGATTAATAGGATGGTGAAAAGTTGTTTGGAAAGGAGCAGAGAGTAGAAGAGAGAATGAAGAGGATAATATGGAAATATTGAGTTTTTAATATGTATATAATGTATATTGATACGTATTATGAAGACTTGAGTTTAAAAATAAGTGATCGTTGTATTTTTGGGTTTAAGAGGCATTTTATAAGTACATGGGTTTAAAAAAGAGTTAGAATAAAATTTTGGGGTAAAAGACAAAAACCCCTATTTTTAAAGCAACTCACTTTCACCTTCTTGTCGTTTTCGTAAGGGACTTAACTTGCATAATGTCGACATTTTGGAACCCAATGACGCGAACCGAACCCAAAAGAAGAGCAGATAGTGCCAGCTTTTCCCGCTCTTCTCCTAAAAAATGAGCTCATCGTGTGTTCATCTACTGTGGGCCCCACGTAGCCCCTGAACTTTGTCGGTGTAGAAGTTAAATTCCGGAAATACCCTCTTAGTCGGAGCACAGTAGAGATGGACGCAAACATTGAACCCATTTCTTCTCTCTTTATATAATCGAAACCAAATCATATCTGAGAAAGTATTTGTGGGTAAATTTCAATTTTTAGAGTGATGCTAGGTACAAAGTCTTTTTTTTGGACAATGAATTAAACTTTTATTCATAGATGCTAGATACAAAGTTGCCAATGAACAAAGTAGATAGCCAGTGAGATGTAGCTCATATCATGGAAATTAGAGAGATTTTTTAGGTACAATATAAAGTCATGATCTTTATTAGAAAATAAAAGAAGTAGAAAATAATGAGGAGTTAACAAGTCCTTTTTATTAACTAGAGAAGACCTTTTTCTTATTGTGGGGGAAGTGATGTTAATTATACTTTTAGCTTTGTGTGTGTACTTAAAACAAGAGTGATCGTATATACGTACAATTAATGTAAGTAAAAGCAAAAACTTTCTACATGCTATTTGGCCAAAAAAAAAAGAAAAAGAAAAATAAGACCTACTTGGGTGATCATTTTTATCCGATCAATAAAATTCATCATTGATAATTTTAGACAACTTAGAATACATAAATACTGTTGTGAAACAAGTGATAATATATAGGGTGGCACTAGGGGCACACCACCAACCACAACCTCAACCACAACCTCAACCACACCCCCTCTCTCATTGCTACAGTGCACCAGGCCCCACATGGGATTTTAAAATTTTAAAATCTCATGTGGGGCCCGGTGCACTGTAGCAAATGAGAGAGGGGGTGTGGTTAAGGTTGTGGTTGGATGTGTGTCCCTATCATTTTCCTAATATATATGCGCAACCTGAGTAAAACCATAAGGTTTTCAAATGCTGTTTGTCTACAAATTAAAGAAATTAATGGAAAATAATTCCTACATGAATAGGCATTTTTGTCCACTTAACCATGAAAAGTACGCGTACTCATATGCACAATCACAAAAACAAGCACAACCAACTCATTTTTTTTTAACGCCAGATTAGATCGAGGGATCTTTTACCAACTAGGAGACTTTTCTTGCCTTCTCTTTCTTCTTGCATCACCGTCACGATTTCTCCCATCTCTTTCTCAAAAAAGATAACTTTCTGCCAAACTCCAAGATGATAAACTCATGGGATGAAGCAGTCTCAGCTGTTCTTGGGGTGATAATGAGAAAGAGCATTTGCAAGTTTCACGAGATTGGAGGAATTGCTGTAGAGTTTGTATCGGTCCTTGTATCGGCGGTTCGGCGGTTCGGTTCTCTGGCCTGATATTCCGGAGGCACGTGCCGGTTCCGAACCGATACTCTCCGTTATCATCCACGGTTGCTAGGCATGACAGGTTAGGGCTTAGCTAAGATTTATAAAACGTTTTCCTTAAAATATATCTAATAAATTAGATCTCTAAGTTAATTAGAGTTGATCTCTATGAACAGGTTTTGGAGATACCAGGTCATGTGAAAAAAATGGAGGAGTTTAAATGTGGTTTGTTGAGTTTAAATGTGGTTTGTTGTAGAATTTTATTTGTTGAAATAATATTTATCCTCTTAATTTGCATCATGTTCTCTTATTATCTTATCTTCAACATTTACGGAGGTTAAAATTTTAGTATAGATCTCATATGTATTGGACTTGTTTGATGGGGGATGAGATGATCGTTTGGGTGATTGTGATTTTGATTGGTTTATGATGGTTTTGAATAATCAAGTTCAGGCTTGATCATTTTTATTACTGAGATTTAATTTTGGTGAAATGCATGGTTATGATCATGTATATTTTGTATCAAAGAACCATACATTTATCTGCAGGTTAATGTTTGGTGAAGGAATTTGAATTTTCTATATCCCTTTGTTTGATGATCAAATTATAATCCTTCATCTTTATTAAGGACAATTACATATGAATGTTTCAACTATAGAAATCATCGATCATATCCACAAAAATTACAGTTCTTTTAATTATCTTTCAAGATAAATCATAATGATTACCCATTGAATTATAATTGTTGTGCTTGAAAAAATTGGAATTAGTTGAAGTGTCTAAAATTGCAGTCAAATATTCCACTATACACCTATGAGATGAACAATCTGAATCCACTATCCCCAAATATGACACAAGATGTTAACTTCAAATGCAGAGACAATAGTATTTACTTCTGGCAAATGTCTACTTAATATAAAGTGTGATTATCACATTAAGAAGATATAAAAAAGAACCAAATTTAGGTCCTCTTTTATTTTATTTTTTTGGTAAATGAAAATTTTATTCATTTCCAAAATGTAAAAGGTATATACATCAAGAATCTCACTGCCAAAAAGTGAGATAACATCTTGCGGCTCTTAAAATAGAGCTCAGCAAACACTCCTAAACATCATTCCTGTGCATGAGACATACAGAATAATCCCATACTCAAACAGACAAAAGCAAATTCCTTCTTAAACCCTCTTAAGAATTATCCTCCACAGATATTCTACTTCATACCTACAATCTGGCAACACGGAGATTAATTCTGAGCTCTACAAGGAGAGAACCCATCCTTTGCATTCAGCCGATAGGGATTTGTTCAAGATAGATGTGAGGATGTCCAACTTAATGTTTTTGATCAAACTGTCAGCAGATCTATTCTCCATCTTGAAAATTCTGGAATTTTTTTCTCTACAAATATTGTAGACTGTAGCAGCTAATGCCATCCTCTTGATTTTTTGCTTAAACCCACCACCCCTCAATCTGAAACTGTACCAATTCATAAGGGAAGACCATTCACAGCACATCCATTTGAATTTAAGTCATTACATTATACCATTCCAGACATAATTAGACATTGAGCATTCAAAGAAGAGATGATTACGGCTCTCTGTACATGAACCATCACACAACTTGCATACTGAAGCCTGAATGATCCCATGCTTAGGTAATCTATCTTGAGTTTGAAGTTTATCTTGAACTACCAGCCACAAGATGAACGAGTGCTTAGGATAACTCAATTTTTTCCAAACTGTGTCATGCCATGTAACTTGTGTAGTAACAGGATGTAGACAGGAATATAGACCAGAAAGTTGTATTCTTGAATGGACACAGCAAGAGTCTATAAGTTGCTTGAGATTGTCGATTCCTCCATACAAATCCAGGCACTTATTTCTGATTTTCAAAAGTTGTTTCCACATCCAAGAGTCCCCCTTTCTAGCATTAGCCTGCCAAATACTCTCATTTTTTAGGTAATTCTCATGTATCCATTTAATCCACAGTTGTTCCTTATTCATGTGAATTTTCCAAAGAAGTTTTAAAGCAGCGGCAGTGTTCCAAAGTTGAGCCGAAAAAATTCCCAAGCCACCATGTTTCCTTTGCACACAGATTTTATTCCATGACACAAGAGAAGCTTTGAATACCTGATCTGATTTGCCCCATAAAAAACTCCTACATAGCTCATCAATCTTGTGTAGAACTTTAACTGGAAGAATGTAGCTAGATGTCCAGAAAATTTGAACACCCAATATGACACTTTTGATTATCTGTATCCTACCTACATAGGACAAATGTTTGTGCTTTAGACAACTTTGGAATTGGTTGGAAATCTTCATGATCAGAGGATTGCAATCCAAGTATGACATCCTTTTGCAGATTAAGGGAAGCCCCAGATATTTAATAGGCAGAGTTCCTTCAGGGAAACCCAGAGAATTGCTAATGGCATGTTTCGTTGCCTCCGATACACCACCATAGAAGATAGAACACTTAGTAGGATTTGCCTCCAAGCCAGAACAAGCTCCAAAAGATTTAACACATTGAAAGAGTTTGTTCACAGAATAATAATCCCCTCTACAGAAAAGGATCAGTAAGTCATCGGCAAATATTAGATGTGTTATTTTTAGCTTTTTGCATTTGGGGGTGGAATTTGTTTAGGTCATCTTTTAGCTTCTTCCAACTTCTACCCCTATAAAATAGTAGTAGAAAAGTAGTCTTCGGAAACAAATTAAGATGCCTGGTAGGAATAAACATTTTAATAACATCATCAATAGTTTACAAGATTGCTACTTTAGAATAAATCAGCTTGCTAAAACTTCGTCATCCTAGATATTTGATGAGTTAATTTACAAAATTTCACTACCTGGTCCTCCAAAAAGCCATCAATACTTAAATTTTCACCGGACATAATGAAAACCCCTCTCTCAAGATATCACAGCCTTTCACAGTAAACAATGACATTATTCATGCTGACAAGCTTAAAAAAATCATTTACATTTAATTATATTAAAATGATAAATTTAAATCAATCCAAATTCCAAATTAATTAAAGAGCTAAATACACACACACATATAATATATATATACACACACAATATATATATACACACACACATATATATAATACACACACACACACACACACATATATAGATCAAGTTCAACGGAGCGGATCATCCACAATATAGCTCAATTATGTAATTTTAAACCGTGTCCTTAGATGATTATGTAAGACGTGAGATCACTTAGGACACTTTCCTATATATATCTATATTATATATATTATATATATATCATATATATATATATATATATATTTTATATATATAAATAATATATATATATAAAGATTAATGGGTATCCTTGACAGGAGAGGATTTTTCTCTTTTGATCTAGGATGTCTAGGATACACATTATGCTTTCTCTCTCTCTTGTCATGGAATGCGAACTGTATCCGTGTAGTGTGTGTGTGTATATTATATATATAATATATATATATATATAATATATATATAGCTATAGTATATATATATATATATACTAATATGTATATATATATAAATATATATATATTATATACTCCTTCCGACTACGGTCCGTGATTTAATTATCTAGTTTTCATCTGAATTAGGCATATTTTTGTAGAAGTGAAGAAACAGCGAAAAAGTTTAGGAGGAATTTGTTTGGAAGCTTGCCTGTCGACCGTAAGATCATCTGCGATCGACCGCCAACATGCACAATACATGTTGCATTTTTGGATTTTTGTCCGGTCGATCACGGCGTCAAGTGTGGTCGAACGCGGACCCTGTAATCGATTTTACGAGTTTTTATTATTCTATCTGGTCGACCGCAGAGTCAAGTACGATCGACCGCGACTCAAGTCCGAGTCTGTAGGCAATAAAAATTACCTTAATTCCTAGCAAAGAAGCTCAAATTTGACAAAAAAACGCTAATATCTCTCAAACCGTAAGGAAGTTGGCGAAATGGACAGGAGCAAACTGAACCCTTTAAGGTGGGTTTGGTCCGCTCCGTCTCGTCGAGATAGTCGATTTTCATATATAATTCGTTTAATTCTGACTTACGATTTGAAAGTTATGACCCGTTCTTCGTAACATGTTCTGAAGTCCGTCTGCAAGACTGGACTTCGCCTGAACATTAAAGTTTGCCTACAATGCTAAGTTTGCCTAAACTGATTGAAGCTCGCCTGACAGCTTCGCCTACGAGATTCGCCATGCAACAAGGCTCAACATCAAAAGATGAGGTTCGCCATACAGCGAAGCTCGACATCAGAAGATGAGGTTCGCCATGCAGCATGGCTTAACATTAAAAGACGAGATTCACCACGTAGCGAAGCTCGACATCAAAAGACGAGGTTCGCTGTATCGCATCAAAGTTTATCACTGTGGACAAAGCTACTCTGGAAGATGAAGCTCATCATTGAAGATAAGGTTCGAAGCTCATCATTGAAGACAAGGTTGAAGCTCATCATTGGAAACGAGGTTCAAAGCTCATCATTGGAAACATGGTTCAAAACTCGTCATTGGATACGAGGTTCGGAACTTACCACCAGACGTAAAGCTCATTAGTGAAGATGAGGCGCGTCAAAAGAAAATTCATAAGACTCACTACGTAGTTGGACTCAGCTATCGAAGATGAAGTTCATTAGTGAATACACAGCTCGTCAGACGGCATCAGTGAAGACAATGTTTGCTATACTGCAAAGTTGTCCTTAGAAAATGAACCTCGCTGCATATTGAGGCTCGTACAATCAGATGAACCTTGCCATGCAGGGAAGCTCGTAGTCCGTAGGAGATCCAGCTGTAATGGCTCCGAAAACCTAATCAGCCATGTGGGCTAAATCCAAAGAGTCAATTACGTCACGACTCCACGATTTCAGCGCATCAATTATACCACGACTCCACAATTTTAGCTCATCAGTTAAGCACTAAAGGCCTATAAATAGCTATGAGTAGCTATAAAAGGAGGGGCAGACGAGGAGCACGGGATGAAGAGCTTTGGCAATCAAGATTAAGATCTGAACCTCGGTTCTAACAATCTAAGCCATCAACAAAGTCTGATTCTCCTCTCGAGTTGAAGCGATCTTGATCTGATCGTCAACGGGAAGCAATCTCAGCTTGAGAATCGAGAGAAGCATCATTTCGCCACCAAGAACCCACTTTTAAACAAAAAAGAAGTCAAATTAATCTTCTCTTTCTCTGTAATCGAGAGAGTGAGTGATTGTACGAGATTCATACTAAGTGATCGAACCCATTTCTTAAAACAAGAATCAATCAACATCAATTTTTCGACCATACAGAGCCTGAGCTTTGTTTTCTGACCCGTTTTATTTTATGTTGATATATAACCCTAAACCAGATTAGTTAGGGTTAAGTAAGGACGATTTGAGCAAGCTTTTGAGAGAATATTATGCATCCTTTGTTGGAGGAT